ACCTTCTTTTCCTGTGGCACCGTCAGATGGCCCTGGCTTCTGCCCCTCGCCACCGGAACCTGCAGGATTGAGATGTATAGTCAGTGAGTGTCTGAGTCACCCACATTGTTCTCTAGCACCCCACTGGGGCATTGGGGTCAGCACTGTCTGCTAGGGGAGAGTGCCCCCTACTGAGCCCTCCCTCCCCAAGAGACAGACTCACAGACTAGGACTGACCCACTGAATGAGAGTGACCGAGAAGCAGAGAGGGATCCAGTGAGAAATAGAGACACTTCCGCTTAGACCGGGTAAAGCTCCTCTTTCGAGCTAACTTCCTGCACGTAAGTAGGAGAGCGCTCGTGTCTAACGGCTGTGTTGGAGTCTGTGCTACTGCGGCTTCACTGCTATCGCTACTTGAGCGAGCTAGATTAAAACTACCTCAGGTACATCTACACATGCTGCAATTACACTTCCCCTGATTGCAGTGCAGATATACCCACAGAAACCCAGCGAGTTATGGAGGAGAGAGTGAGGGACAGACACACAGAGCCCAAAAAGGATCCAGGGAAACGGAGACTAAGACAGATTGACAGGTTCAGCTCTTTAGTTGGGATCAGACTTAAACTTTTAAAGCAACAGGAAATGAGGAATTTATATTTCATAGCATTCCTCTGCCGCCTGCCATTTTTCCCCCTACCTATCTGCTTTTAATAGCAGCAATATAAAAGTGTGTTCCCTCTCTTTCAGTCTGAGTCAAGGGGCATTTGGACTGAGTCCTTTGTATTCCATACAATGTTATACACAGACTAATTAATAAGCAACTCGGGCCAGATCCTCAGTTGGAGCTACACGACTTTATACCACGGAGCTATGTTGAATTACTCCAGCTGAGAATCTGGCCCTAGGTTTCTAAACAAGAGGCATTGTGGGCCAGTTTCTCTGCTGGGGTAAACTGGTGCAGTTCCAGTGAAGTTTGCCCTCTTTCCCCAGGACAAGGAGGGGAAATCAGACGCAAAGCTAACAAACTGCAGAACCTTCCAGCAAGTTCAGGCAGGGACGTGGAAGTGACTGTGGTTGAAAGTGAAAGCAAATTTCAAGCACTCAGAAGAAAGACACCCAATTAAAAAATCGATACAAAAAAATGGAAGATTTGTTTTCCAAAAAATATAAGATTTCCCCCCTGCCCTTAACTCTGTGTGATAAGTTGTAGAGAGGAAGGAGCTGGCCAGCTAATGCTTGGACAACAGACTTTCAAAATAGAAATCTAGTCTCTTGTGAGCATGCCTCTTTGTTACTCCTTTGGGAAGGGTCGGATGCCACTTGATTTGTGTGTTCAGGGATGGGGATGTTAGAACCCGAGAGAATAGACACAGTACTTACAGAGAGAGAGCGATGCAGTCAGTGGCAGAAGATAGAGTAGAGATCATCCTGCAAATTTACTGTTTCTGTCTTTTCCTCGCTAGCCTCCTGCACATGAGTAGGAGACAGCGCTCAGGGACAGGCTCAGTGGAACCTCCTTAATAGCCCACGAAAGCTTATGCTCTAATAAATTTGTTAGTCTCTAAGGTGCCACAAGTACTCCTGTTCTTTTTGCGGATACAGACTAACACGGCTGCTACTCTGAAACCTCCCTAATAATACTGCGCTCTTCTCTAGAGCTTATCCAGAGATCTCAAAGCACTTTACAAAGGAGCTCAGTATCATGAGCCCCCTTAATGCTCTCCCCTGCCCCGATCCTTACCAGTCCCTGTCGCCTTGCGCAGTCTGTCTGCCAGCTCCCTTTCATTGATGGCTGTCAGGACCTCCACAGTCACCTCCACCGCATACTTCTCCAGATAGAAGCTGATCAGCTTGTCGCACACATCCAGGACATCCGCTTTTTCCAGCCGGCCCCGGGGGATGTTGCTGTAACCCGCCTTCACCGGGAACACGTTCAGCTTGGTCTTGAACCTCTTAAACTGGTCCTGCCCCAGCTCTTCTAGGGTGTCCACGAGGTGATCCCGCACCGTCTTCCCCATCCTGCCCCCTCAGCGGCGGAGCAAAACTGCCAGGGGGCAGGACCAGAGCCAGGGGCGCAGCTCTTTGCCCTGAGAAGCGATTGGGGCTCAGAAATGGGGCGGCGCTCAGGCCGCCAGATCCGCTTGCTGAAAATGGTCCTGCTCGTCCCCTGCTTCCTCCTCGTTGCCTGTGAAAGGTTTTTTCCCAAGGTGCCGAGCTAAACAAAGTAACAACAAACCCCTCCCGCTTCCTGGCTGGAACAGAGACATGCAGCATCGAGACGCCGGTGCACCTGAGATCCCCTGTCAGCGTGGGAAGAGGGTTCTGCATTTGTAAAGCCTGTCACCAGCTCCCTTCAGGAGAGCCCCGGCTTGTGCTGCCCTGTGACAGGGGGAGGAAAAGTTGGAAGAACTGGGCGTGTTTAGCCCAGAGAAGAGAAGACTGAGGGGGAACATAACAATAAGGTTACCATATTTCAGCAAGCAAAAAAGAGGAGGGGAGGAGCCCCTGCCCTAGCCCCGCCCCCGTCCCGCCCTAGCCCC